CAGTCTTAATTTCACCCAAAAGGAGATCGATGACATTAAAAAACACCAAATAAATGGAATTGACCATTGTAAAACTATGCAAACTGAAATACACAAAGTATGTACGGTATGCTGGATTTAACCGACAAGATGGACTACTTAGAGGGACAATCTAAAAGAAACAACTTGATAATCGATGGGATTGAAGAAACGCAAGGAGAAACATGGACTGAAACGGAGCAAAAAGTGCAAAACATTTTCAAGGAGCAACTGCAGTTAAAGGAGTCAATTGAGGTGGAAAGAGCCCACCGTACGGGGAGATATGAATCAAGAAGACCTCGACCAAGGCCAGTAGTGGTGAAATTTGAAAAATATAGGGACAAAACAACGATTCTACAGAGAGCAAAATACTTAAAAGGTACCTAAATTTACATTAACGAAGATTATACAGATGTTGTACGTCAAAAAAGAAAAGAACTCCTTCCAAAACTAAAAGCAGCACGTGAAAGAGGGGAAATTGCCTACATGAGGCACGACAAACTCATCGTCCACCCCCGCACTAGTACTCCAATTCAACGGGCCCGTTACATACATACATGTATATATGTAAGTGGGTGTCAATATATATATCAATATATGAGATGTAGATCTCTTCCTTTTCCTTTGCATTGAAAAATGATTTATTTATATTATTACACAACAAGGGGTAGGACTCGATAAGTTGTATACTTCTTCCTACTCCTTTGAACATATAACGGTGATGATGTTTGTTTTACTTACTTTTTACTTTTTATTTTTCTTTTGTAATTTTTGCTTGCCTTTTGTCAAATTGTTATTGTATTGTATGTTCAAACTTCAACTTCAATATGAGGTGGTAAAATAAGCCCCTATATACAGGACCATATTTAGTTCGATAAACACAGTGCCACATGACCGCATTTCATGTCGGCTTGCATGTCACTCAACGTTGCGCTTTGTGCGCATGCGTGTCATATCACGGACTTGTTGTACCTGTATTCACATTAGAGGTCGCGTTACTTTTTGTATTGTGAACGAGCACATAAGATCGGATTAAAAAATAATAATAATAATCATAATAAATTGTGCATCATGCCTTGCAGCGCAAATGTAGCCGCTGCTGTTGAGCTTCTCTGTGGCCTGTGTTTTATTTTTGTATTTTTATCAATGTTCAACAAGAGATTTACATGTGCACTGCAATTCAAGTTTATTATGCAGCCGAGCTTACCACCGCAAGGTGGAGGCATTACTTCTGCCAGATGGCATGTACATGGATTAGGACATGTGCTCAAAACGTGTTTTCTCACTTAAAATCCTTGGCGGCTGACATATATCTACAAGAAGCACATATTAGACACCCTAAAGAAAAGTTGCTTCAATGTAGCTGGGCCAATCAGATCTTTCAGTCTACATTTTCTAGCAAAGCCAATGGAGTGGCAATTTTGATCCGCATTGGATAGATCAGCCCACACAAAACTCATTCTCCACCACGTTAAATAATTTAATGACTAAAAGACGACATAATTAGCATTAAAGCGCGAACATTAGCAACGCCGTGAAACTTGATATCTCAGATGTATTTTGTTGTATAAAAAATAAATGTACTTGTTACACCCATTTCCAACTGTATTAATGAATAGCACATCAATGCTGTATAAAGATTTCCACTTGCCGCTGGATCAAGGACGTAAGGCTCCACAGTATGTTCTTCCATCTCTATTACTATTAGCTGTCTCAAACTCCATAAGAAATTAGATCGTCATTGTGCCAAAGGTAATAACATAATCATATATATGACTATCGTTAACAGTGAAAAACTTAAAATAGCATGGTATAGGCTGTTGTTGAGGCTGTTGCATGTTTGGAATACACGTCAAGCTGAAAAGCCAGAGGAAAGCAAAATCACATGCCGAGTTCGTCTTCAGAGACCGACTGAACTGAGCTCGTATTTATTTGAAAGATGAATCTTTTGTCATTGTGGGCTTGCAGGTGGGCAACCACATTGATGTGGTCTCCAAAAAGTGGGTGGCTCAGGATGCCGGCATCGGCGCCGGTGTCGACTCCTACTTTGAGTATCTGGTGAAGGGAGCCATCTTGCTGCAGGATGAGGAGTTGCTGCACATGTTTGATGGTGAGTTACATGATCCGCCCATCACCTGCAGAGGTACGGTCAGTGTGTGATGAGCCGTCACTCTGGTATTACAGCCTACGATCGGGCCCTTGAGAACTACACGCGCTTTGATGACTGGTACTTATGGGTGCAGATGCACAAAGGTACTGTGTCCATGCCCGTTTTCCAGTCCCTTGAAGCCTTCTGGCCCGGCCTGCAGGTAGCCATGCCCCCCACATCCTTCCGCTCGGTGATGAGCGAGCAGTGGTTGAAAGTGCTTTGTCTTGATTTCAGACTCTGCTAGGCAACCTGGACGGTGCTGTCAGAACCTTCCAGAACTATTACTCAGTGTGGAGGCAGTTTGGAGGTCTGCCTGAGTTCTACAGCATCTCTCAGGGCTACACCGTGGACAAGAGGGAGGGATACCCACTCAGACCTGGTCTGGTTATTAAAACATTCTCCTTCACTCTGTGTCTTTGTCTGCGGTTTCCCTGTCATCATCATCTTTCTTCTTATCTGTTCTGAGATCGCAAGTCAAGTGGTTCATGGTTTTTGTTTATTTCAACCTATTCTGTTTGGCTGCTTAGTGATGCAGAATGGATGATATGCAAAAAAAAACCCCAAACAGTTTTTATGTGCAACAGCAGAGTTGGATTTATTGCCTCTGGGCTGGGGATTATTTATATTGTAATGGGGGTCATTCCAGCTCAATTCAACCGATGGAGTTAACCCAACTATCTCAAACAAAACTTGGTTTATGTTTTCATTATGATCAGAAGTGCACCTTAACATTTTGGAGTGGTTATCAGATGAGCACGAGAGGTTGGTATTTGGTGCTCTTTTTTTTTTTCACCATGGTGCTCATTTTTTCCCCGGAACCACCAACCTCATTAATGAAACGAAAGACTTAGGGTCCAGAGAAAGGTTTATCGTTAATGTGTGTAGATATGTCATTTTAATATAACCAAATAAACTTTTTCCAACTGATCTAGAGTTGGTCGAGAGCGCCATGTACCTGTTCAAGGCGACAGCCGATCACACGTACCTACAGCTCGGCCTGGACGCTGTCGAGTCTGTTGAGCGGATCGCCAAGACGCCATGCGGCTACGCCAGCGTGAGTGCCTCTTTGCCAGAGGTGGCGTGAAAGCATCGGTCCAAGCTGACGGTGTTCGTGCTTTCAGGTGAAAGACCTGCGAGACCATCAGCTGGACAACAGAATGGAATCCTTCTTCCTGGCTGAGACTATCAAGTACCTGTACTTACTCTTTGACCCGACCAACTTCCTGCATAGTAGTGGCACAGAGTCATGGGTTGAGGGCGGAGAGGATGGCCAGTGCATCCTGAGTTCGGGGGGCTACATCTTCAACACGGAGGCCCATCCGCTGGACCCGGCAGCGCTCTACTGTTGCAGCCGTCACGGCCGTGAACAACAGGAGCTCCGCGACATCCTCCTCGGCCTATCACATCCTGCTAAGGAACATAGTGGACGCTCAAAAGAGCCTTCGCTGCATGGCCAATCAGACAGCATCGCTCTGAAAGCGGGCGAGCGGAACACGCCCCCCCTCCTGTCCTGTCCCGTTCAGCCTTTCAGCGCTCGACTCGCCGTATTGGGACAAGTTTTCACCGATAACACCTGACCTTGTGTGTCATGTGATTTACTGGCTGTGTCTGTGGTTACTAAATGAAGACTACAATATATTTTTATTTATGACCTTGTGTCACATCATCTTTGTTTACTGAACATCACCATGAGGGGGCAGCGTTCACCAGGAAAAAAACGTCTAAAGTTGGCTGACTATAGAAGCATCCGTCCATCCATTTTCTAATTAGCTTATCCCCACAAGGGTCGGAACGTGCTGGATTCTATCCCAGCTTTCTTTGGGCAGTAGGCCGGGTACACCTTGAACTGTTTGCCAGCCAATCGACTATAGAAGCGTTCTGACCTCATATGAGACACGCCCTCATCTTGTCTTCTCATTTTCCACTGCTTCCCATGTGTCATTCCCTCAGTTACCATCCTATGCGTTTCCATGCTTATCTTGTGTCCGCCTATGGTTTTATGTTATCTTAAATATTCACTTATTTTACTGTAAACATGCAGTTCAACAACTGTACACTGCACGCATGTTTGTATTTTTTTTTTTGCACTTGAAAAAAATTTCAAATCACAAAAAAATTGGAACAGAGAGAACTGAGATATTTGGATTTTACATTTGAAATTTTGACCGTTTCATATTTGCTTTGAGAACCGGTTGTTGTATTTTTCTCCTTTTTTATGTGTTATCGGTGACACACACAAATGAATGGTACAAGTTGATCTGTCTTACCAGGAATCAGAAAACTGTTGATACAAATATTCAATTCCGTAAGGCGCAGCTCGTGCTTCACTTGCAAGTGTACTCCTTACTATTCTCTTAATTATCCTTGATGAAAGTGTCCATTTGTACCCTTATCAGAGAAATTTGGAAGAGATGTATTCATAAATGCATCCTGTTAGGACCCACAATGACACCGATATCACACAATATTCAAATGTCCTGGAATCCTCTTTTAACATGCTTACATTTGACTGTTAACTCAAGTCCCAAAGTGACATTTACCGGGACACATCGTGATGCAGCCATATCACGCTACAAGATGTCTGTGGACGCGTGACATTTCAACCATAGTGGTCAATTTTGGTGGTGCATGTCACGGAGGCAGCTAATTTCTTAAAACCCGCCGTTGGTGACTTCAAGTAGGCCTCAAACCATGGCACAATAAAAATTGTCTTGTAAGATGAGGCTTCTATTTAACCCGTTATAATTTTTGTGGAGATTCATATACAGCAACTTTCGGAAACATTGGTCTGAAACGCGTGTCTCATCAGGTTGTTCTCCTTAAAATAATCATGAAAAATGATGTGTGATGTACATGTCACATGTAGCAATAATCGGGGAGATTTATTTACTGTCTGCAGTGCACTCAACTGCCACTAGGGGCTGCGTGTCATTTTAAAAATTACAATTACAAGGCTGAGACAGACCAAAAGAAACTGAAACCAGTCATCAATTAGGTGGCTACATTTGAGGAGTTTTGTGAACAACACCCCAGGATATTTGAACTCCTCCCCTTGGGTCAGCATCTCATCCCCGACCTGGAGAGCGCATTCAGTGGTGGCAATTTTCCGCGGATATGCGGAAATCCGCCGTTTTATATCTTAAATTGATCATTTTTGTGAATCGTCTAAATCCGTTGAGAAAATTTTAGGGGGGGGTCAGGTACCTTATCGTCGAGTTTTCATGAGCTCTCCCGATCAGTCTTTCCATCTTCCAATTGTAAACAGCCCTGTGATTGGACGTGTATGATGTCTTACTTGTTGTGATTGGTCGCTATATCGGCAAATATAAATCACAACCAATCCGTGTTCGCCTTCCTAAACCTCTTTCTTGCGAATGCCGAATGTTATCGAGACTCGCGGCGAAGCTAAAGTGCGTCAGATAGATGCGGCTCTGAAAAACACGTTTCGATGGGACTGGTTGGATAGAAAGCTGACGGTGTCCCCAGTAGGAAACAGTAAAGAGGAACCATTGTGCT